TGAAAGGGTACATATTAAAAGCATTATCATTGTTAGTATTTTAGCAAATATAAAAATACTATTCATGTACAGCTGATCTTCCCTTAATTTTCTCCATGATAAAAAAACTAGACATTATATTCCCATAACGATCTAGATATATATAAAAAACCATGCATGCATTAAAATAACACTAATAATACTGCAATTGCAGTTGTTAGTATAGTAGTATTCATCCCCATATTCCAACCTATGGGCTCCTCTTTGGTGATAGTCAGATGAGCAGTACTTTGAAATTTTCCAGCAAAGTTGATGGCCTCACAAGCGTATTCGCCTTCGTGCTCTTCCTTGCTGGCTTTGGTGATGGTCAGAGAATTGTGGTCACCTTCCCTGAGGCACCTGACCTCGGCTGAAGCTACCACTGGCCTTCCACTGTGGTACCAATTGACCTGAGCTGCGTGTGTGATGCTGGCAGTGAAGGTGGCTTCGTCACCCTCAGCTACGGTAGGCGTCTTGCAACTGTGTGATGAACACCGGGACGGTGTCTGCTGGCTTCTCTGCCACAACTTCTCTTTTCTCAACACTTTCGGGTATTTCCGTGGGTGTTTCCTGCGGGACAATTACCTCAGGGGATTCCAGAATCACGGCCTCCTTCTCTCGCTCTATCCGTGTGTTCATCGCTAAAGTGGTTACAGATACATCATCGGGTCTGGACATGCCTCCTGCTTCTTCGGCGACGCTCGCACGCTCAGCCAACGGAGGAGCAGCGATTTGGTCCGAATGTTCAGCAGTAAGAGTCGGGAATAAGCTCTGCAAGGTGGCGTGAAGAGCAGCTTTGACTTCCTTCGTGATAACTGCCCGCTGAGGTTCGTAGCCTTCAAGAGTCAATGTAAATTCAAATGGAGTAGCCGTCAAGTTCGTGACCTGATAAGTGTAGAGACTGAATCTGGATTCCTTTTTGTAATCAACCTCACTAACGGTAAAACCACCCAGAATTTCTAGACTTTCGTGAGTCATCACTACCTGCTTCTGCACAATTATGGATGTTAAAATGTCCTGCACTTGAGTCCTTATATCTAAGGTGTACACTTTAGGTTCCTCATCCTTAAGCTGGTCTTCTTTGATCAACAAAGTAGTTTCTTTCGAGCTATGCAAGTGGAGGACAGACTGTGGCTGCTTTTCAATCAAAAGGGTCTCTTCAGTTTTTACGGAAAATTCATTGGCATGTTCCTCGCTCGTTACCTGCCTCTCCTCTACAAGCAGTGGAAGTCCCACTCGCTGTCCTTCCTGAATCCCAGAAGCAAATTCAACCTCGGTAGCGCCAAGGGATTTCGTGCTTTCCAGAGTAAGCTCTGTCTTTTCAACTCTGATGGCTGTAACGGGAGGTTTCGGCTCCGTGGTAAAATCCGAAGTCATCGCTTCAACCTCCGCCAGGGAATCTGTATGACTCTCCTGCAACGATTTCACCTCAGTTGTTTCAGACGACAGTAATATGGTGTAGAGTGGTTGTTTGCGACCGACTGCCTGGAATTCGTCAGGCTTCAAGGAACAAGTGCCCTCTTTCTGAAGGTGCATTGGCTTCGACACTGCTGTCAGGGACAACGGCGACTGCCGCTCGTTCAGAACATTGGGCTGAGCACTTTTGTAGCCCGAGTCCAGGATGGTAATGTGATCCGCAGGGATTTCTTGCCTGTCCTGCGAAACAACAGCCTGCTTATACGACTTTTCTACTTTGGACGGGGCTGTGTGTGAATCTGGTTTGACTGTTGCAATTATATCCTCCTTGGGGAGAACTGCCTCTCCACTGACAACATGGCTATGAAGGGTTGTACGAGCCTGCTTCTCACTTGGAATAATAACTGCTTCATCTGTTTTGTCAATGTGACCTATCATTTCATGATATATAGTCCACTGGTCTTTCCCAGTGGTTGACTGCCTCACGGTTAAATCCTTGGATGATTCTGCCTTTTCTTCGACCGGTATTTCAAAGGCAAAACCGAGTTCTTTTGGAAGTGTATCTTGTCCTTTCACCACCATGGCATGTAAATCCTGCTTGCTTTCCTTCTTTGAGGAAATATTCACCGCACTCTCTACACCCACTATTTCCTCCGTAGATTCGCTCTTGATCCCTTTCCTCTCTTCTGTAACAAGCAACGATTTGAGAACAGTTTCTGTAACCAACTGCGCTTTCTCGGGCTTTGCTTGCTCTGTCTGGACAACCATTTCCTTCTGCAAAGAAGCCTGGTCGTGAACAACTGAGACCGCCAATGGTTTCGCAACCTCTTTCTGCGATTGCAACTCCACGGCAGAATCCAGCACGTCAAAGGGCTTCGCTACATCGGCACCCATTGGCTGCCTCTCTTCCATCACCAACGAGTTGACCTCACGGACGCCTTCGACGCCAACGTGGCCCGTGTGCATCTCGGGAAGTTCGGCCACAAAAGAAACCTCTTTGGGCAGTGTCTCTACGCTCTCGACAAGGTGAGAGTGCACGACGGACCTTGGATGTGGCTGTGGAACCACCGACTCGGCCTCCACCTTACCCAGCTCACGGGACTCGTCACTTGATATCATGAGCCTCTCTTCAGCCACCACTGAGTGCACAACCTCCCTACCCTGAACCTTCGCAGTTGAGGTCGACACCTCTGACATGGTTTCTGCCTGCTCACTATGGACCGTCCGCTTGTCCTCCACAGTTTGCACAAACAAAATTTTCTCCTCCTCCTGTTTTTTAGCCCTCTTCGGCATAGTCTTTTTCGCCTGCACTGGAGGCTTTTCCTTTATCTTCACCTTAAGGTAAGCGGTGCACTGCGTCTCTCCGTTGATGTTGTTGGCCACGCAGGAGTACTCTCCTTCGTCGCCTTCCAGGGCGCACGAAATAAAAAGCGTATATATGTCTCCATCATGTATGAGCCTGTGGTTTCCTGAAGGTGGAACCGGTTTCTGGTCACAGAACCACTGAACGGTGGGCACAGGATCGCCCAAAACCGTTACACTCAGTCGAATCTTGTCTCCCTTGAACACCTCCGAATTTGTCATTTGCTTGGTGAAGACTGGCAGCGTGCCTTTCATTTTACCCTTAACTTTCTTAGGCCTCTTGATTTTGGAATCCCCTTCGTCCCTTTTCTGAACTGACGGAATGCTTTCCTGTGCGGTGGGAAGCTCGTGTAGAACGGACTCTGGTGGTGTTGGTGATGGCCTGAACTCTAATGTGTTGGACAGTGTCTGTGAAAGTGAGGGCTCAGGCGTGAGTTCGGGTGTCTCGTGTTTCTGAGTAAAGATCATCTCGGTGGTGTAGGTAGGTTCTCGCTCCTCCTCCACGTATCTTACAACAGTGCTGGAAAAAGAATCTGTGTAAAGAGTAATCATGTTAGACACTACACGCACACACAAACTCACACACTTCACTTCAAACACCACACACATCAACTTTAAATACCTTGTTTGCTGAAGTGTTATTTCAACATGTTTAAACACCACAACCAACTTTTACAACCTTGTTTGTTGACATGTTATTTTTTTTTAAATGTGTAAGTAGGAATATTATTCATTAACGAAATCTGTATTAACTAATATGCATTAGTTTTGTGTTGTATTTTATGTAGGGGGTTTTGTAATTATGAAATGTAGTGTTACTCAATTTCTGTTAACACGTGCTATACTGTGCTGCAAAAGAAAACAAAAGTGTCTACGTACATCACAACATTGGTTTTTATTAACCACAATAAACACAACACCGACAAAAAAATATACGTTTATTAAAAGACACGCATCGCCTACAATGTCACACGCGATTCCATACCCAACCTCCTTACTTAACTTCTACAACCAAATAGTTGTGTTCCTCCGTCAAACCGAATATTAAGGTAATACCCATCCATTGCCTACAATTCGCCAACGACTGACGATGGGAAAATATATATTTCCAGTTTATGCCTTTTTAGCTATTTTAAACTGTTTAATTGCCAATGAGTTAAACTTTGGATATTTGTGGTTTGTGAAACCATTTAGCCTACCGTTCTGTGAAAGGGGAAAAAACAAGATTCTACAACATCGAACAAAAAAAATTCAACACAGAGCTGCTTCGAAAAATCAGACCATTCAATGCGCATGCAAATCCATTTAAAACTCCACAATGCCTGCCATGCTCAATGAACTACTAATCACTGACAAGAACTGTTACCGAGTTACCAAATTCAAGTACTCAAGCTGAAAAAGGTTCTGCAACATCGGACAACAACAAAAACAGAGCTGTTTCTAAAATCAAACGATTCAATGCGCATGCAAGTCCATTTAAAACTCCCCAACGCCTGCTATGCTCAATGAACTACTAATTACTGACTAGACCTGTTACCGAGTTACCAAATTTAAATACTCTAGTTGAAAAAGTAATTTAAAAAAAACATTAAAAGCAGGCCAGAAACAACTATCAGGTGCTCACAAAAAGGGGCCTTCAACAGCAAAACATTGCAGTGTTTCCCAGCTTGATTTGCGCGTCAAGATGACATTGCTGTTCTTTTGCATATATTCCGTACACATCTTTGTGGCAGACGCCAGCTCAAAAAAGATCCAAGATTCTATCTCTTCGACTGGAGAATCTGCTTGAATGAAGCTGTTTCCCTAATAATTATGAAATTTGTATAAAGATGCCCATTCTCCTTCTGCTCCATAAATAAAATAAAAAATGCCACAAATCTATCAGAAGATGTTCTACAGAATAGGTGCAAGTATGGCAATGTCATCTTGACACGCAAAGGATGCTGGGATCTCTGTTATGTTGAGTTGTTGAAAACACTTTTTTTTGCCAGCCTATTTTTATGGCAATTTATACTTACTCTTTGGTTTTTACGGTAAAGTCACGTAGGTAAAATTTAATAAATGAAAAAACAACTACATTAAATCACGACGTTTCGGAGGCAACACAAGCTTCCATCTTCAGGCGGAACCGTTACAGCCAAATTCACTGTGATAAGATATCACAGTGAAGACAGAAGCTTGTGTTGCCTCCGAAACGTCGTGATTTAATTTAGTTGCTTTTTTAATTTATTTATTTTTACCTACGTGACTTTACCGAAAAAACCAAAGAGTATGAATCCTTGCAGTCACGAAAACTTCAAATCTAGAATTAATACTTAACCATTACTACATGATAATATTCCTGCTATGAGACAAATACTTCGCAACAGCGATGCCACAGAAATAGATGACGTATTTATTTTTAAAGCCGTAATAATCATCTACAGAGCCCCTGCATATCATTGCAAGTACATATATATATATAACCAATAATGTCCAAGAAATTATCAATTGCTTGCATTATTCACTCGGGCTGTAATAATTCACCCCACCCAACCTTAGAAATTTAATGAAATGTCACAATTTAGGATCACAATTCATTTCAAGCATTGATCCTTTTTTTATCGCAGTGAATGGTAGAACCTCTGGTGGTGGTAGGTGTTATGATAACTCATTAAATATTAATATAAAAAGAGTGATTCTTTACACATGCAATGAAATGCAGGTATCATGTACTTAATAATTGGAATCGACATCAATGGATACATCGTTAACGCTCTACTATCCAAATGCAGTTCATGAAACTCACGAGAGGGCTTTCCATAATTAATTATACCACTCAATCCTATCTCATTTGCAGCAAACGGGTCCAAATGTGAGTAAATATTATGCAATTATTCCCATGACTATCAAGTGATGTATATATATATATTATTTAAATTAATAAATGGCTCTTTTTCTCAGATCACAACACTTCCAACAAAGCAACTTGCAATATAAATGAAACTATCAATCAATACACGATAATACAATGACTATAATGTATATCTACCACCTCAATAACATTTCCAGTGCATGGAATAAAGCAACCAGAACGAGCTAAACATTATACATAATGGTTCTAAAACAAACATTAATTTCACAAAGCACCGAGCGCAACCACTAAACATCTAACTCCATTATACAAAAGTGGCTCTAAAAGCAGGAGAATAGCGACAGCATCCCTGAGCGTGTGCACCCTTAGCCAATGGAGAGAGTTGCTTCCGTCTGTGCAACTCCTGAGCTGTTTGATGCGGTACATTTGTACGAGCCTTCGTCGCATTTCGACACATTTTTCACCGTGAGGATTTGTCTCTTTCCCATTGATCGCACATCAAACTGACCTCCCCGCAATTCCACGTCGTTCCTAAACCACGCTATATCTGGGGCTGGTTCACCTATGACTTGACATTCAAGTGACACGTCGCATCCAGGCGCAGTGCGCTTTGTGCCGAGAGGCTGGGTGAACTTTGGCGGTGCTTCGGTGATTAAAAATTCAAAAGAGCATCCCTCAGGTGCGATAGATTGAAAGTGAATGTCACTTTCCTGCGACGCCTCTGCGTACACATCAAAGTTGACGTTCACGCACTGCTCTCCGCCCCTGCCAGTTGCTTGTTGGGTGGCAGTGATCAGCTTCAAGCACTGCTCTGGCATTTGGGAGCCACTCTCAAACTCAAATTCCAGCTCTATCTCTGACATTTGATTCCCCCCCTTGTCCGCCACAAAGAAATCAAGCTCTTGAGAAGTGGCCGTCTGATCTAACGCCGACTCTCCTCTATCACCATAATCTGCAGATCCTTGTGAAATGCTCAGAGTGGCTCTGCAGCTGCTCTCACCAGCGCCATTAACCGCTTTGCAGAGATACATTCCCCTATCTAACAAAGAAACATGTTTTATTTCCAGAGAAACGTATCCAGACTTATTTGCGATCAAATAATGCCCATCCGTGCTTGAAATTTTCACGTCGTCTTTGTACCAGGCAACGCTGGCAGCAGGCGCAGCTATTATGCGGCTGGCAAAGACAGCCTTGGCGCCGAGAGGGGCCGTTACGTCTGCGATGCGGCCCTCAAATCGTGGCGGAGACTCAGATGGCCCGACGTCAATGTTAACTTGTTCAATTTCCCGACTTGCTAAGTCCACGTTTTGTACCCCCAAAATAATTGGGAAAACATCCAGTGAGATAACCATGCTCTTGTTGTCCTCCGCATATTCAGGAATAGTTATGATTTTGACTTGTTCAAAGTCACTGCCATCATTGTCATCCAGCTCAACCTCCAGGAGAATTTCCTGTGGGGATGGAGATCGCGACAGATCATCCTGGTCAACATCAAACTCAATAAAGTGATGCTGAGTCACAGGCGACGTGGCGATGTTCCTGTCGAACACTGGGAGCACCTCCACATTGGCCAAGCTCTTTGCTTCGCCAATGCAATTTGTGGCTTCACACATGTACACTCCCGCATCCGTCGGTTTGACATCCTTAATCTGCAGGATGTAATGACAGCCCTCTTGCTCCATGACCACATTCGACAGAGGCTGAATCAAGCGTCGATCTTTCATCCACAGAACTTCTGGAGGTGGCTTCCCCACGACCTCGCAAACGAAGATTAAGGTTCCATTTTCATACACTTTCTTGCCCGTGAGCGGTTTAACGAACGCTGGAGGCGTTTCGCTTACTTTGTTGTCCACGCTTGATTCAGCCTGCCAGAGTGACTGCGAGTTTCTGTTTTCCTGGTCTTCCCGTATTTGTTGCAGAGTGAGTTTGAGAGCAGCCGGGCCATGTCCCTCGTCTGCTGAGCTCTCCCCGGAGCTCCTGAAGCTCTTTGGGGGAGTGTACAGACGATCGGTGGGTAAGAAAGGTGGGGGGGTGTGGTATTGCTCTGACGGTGTGGTCATTGACTCTGGGGGGGTTTTGTAGCCATCTGGAGAAGTTATTGGAGTGAAATAGCCCTCGATTTCGGACACATCCTCAGTACTTATGCTCATCATCCCGATCGACATTTCCGATTCGGGAGATAATGGGCGCTTTGCCTCATACGACTGCTGGTAATAATCATACAGTGCCCCGAATGTTACATCTTCAACCTCACAAGAGGTAATGATCGGTTCGGCAAACGTGGTCTCGGATTTTGTATCGACCAGTTCATTTGATCCTTTTGGGATGCTTTCTGCCTGCTGCTCCTCAGTTGAACGCAGGTAGTCGCTCAGCGAAAACTCTTTCTCTTTTTCCGTCTGTTCCTCTGATATCTCACACGTCGTCTCACTTGCTGAGAATCCTGTATCTTCAGAACCTCGATAGGCACCGTCACCGCCAAACTGCAATTCATCGGCCAATGCCAATTCCTCAATGGAAAAAACATTTTCCGTTTCATAACGGATAAGCGGCTGGGGACTGCTGCGTCTGGCTTGAGTTTCGCCCCGTGTGGTGAACACAACAGAATTGTCTTGCTGCAATGAAAATTCTGTCTCTTTGCTCTCCAATTCGACAGCCTTAGTGGGAAGAGACTCTGCAAATGTCATGCCATCTTCTCGCTGTGTAACAGGCCCATATATAACGTGGGAATCTTCATCACCTGCTTGTTTTATCTCATCCACCTCTGATGTGGCTTTTGTTCTTGAAACTGGAATAACAACCTCAATGTTCTCCTCCTGCTGTGAAGGCAAGTAACTTTCCTGCATGAGTTTATCACCTTCCGTAATAATGTGCTCTCCCACAGTGCCCATTACATCAGACGCGGCGTGCGGACCCATTTCTAAAATTACATGTTTTTGGGAATCTGTAATATCTGCTGCTAGGGGTTGGCCTCTTTCCAGTTTTATCTCCACTCCACGATGTCCCGTCATCGCTGAAAAAGACCTGTCTGCAACTTGCTCGCTGATGTTCTCTACAACCCATTGACCTTCACTATCCTGCTTCTCTGATTCATCGCGTGGTTTATTCTCTTCCGCATGCAGGCCCGCTGAGTCTCTGAATGACGATCCCACCTCTCCCTCAGTGGTTATTTCTGCACGTAGCTCTGTAACAGCGCTATACTGCTTCTCGAGAGGTAAATCAGAATCGGAATGCGATAATATTTCCCCACTCACGTGAATATTTTCAGGAGAAATTGCTTTAATCTGTGACTCACCATGTTCTCTATCGGTCACTGTGTTCAGAACAGCCATTGAAAAATCTGCATTTGAGAATGTGCCCTCTGGCTCTGATATAGAAATGCCCTCAATAGTCTCAATAATTCCAGAAGTGAAACAGCAAGCCACAGGGTGATCATCAGTACGATCCCCTTCAATCACTTGTCTGAATTCTTTAGCGGTAACTCCATCTGTCCCATGTTCTTTCTCGCCTTTAAGTACAACAGAAACACCTTCATCTTGCTTATCAATGCTACCTGGATACGTATCAATAAGCAGTGGAGCTTCTGTGTGCGTGTCAGGTAATTGCTGAGCAACGTCTCCCATAACTTCCTTTCCCATGGGCTCCACTCTGCTACACTCATCACCAACTGGCATGGACACAGCAGTCTGTTCTATCAGTTGTTCGGCTTTACGAACATCACTTTTTTCTGACTGTTGCTGTGCCTGCGCAGACGACTGGCTGGACGCAATTACACCTCGAGACATATCTACACTGTGAATGGTTTCCATAAGTCTGTAGTCTCCAGTTGAATCAAGTAACCTTCTCTTCACATCATCAGCAAATGCTGCTGTGCCTTCATGTTCAACCCTTGCCACTGTCTTGTCCCTGTCTCCGACCTTAACACCTCCATGCTGCACATGCTTTACTGCAGCATGTTCACTCTCCATCACGCCCACGTCTGCACTTACGGGTTCACATTTACTTTCTGACGCTGGCACAGCGCTTTCTTCGGCAACGATACCACGGACAACCTTATCTTCCTCAAAGGCGTCAGTGCCAGGCAAAGTTAGTGGAATCTGTGCATCTGATTGTATCTGTGTAAATGTTTCCACATGCTCCTCGTGTGTGATTACAGGTGCTGTTGTGCCCAGAGTGTCTACTAACTCCATCTGTCTATCTTCTGAAAATGCACTCATCCTTTCTGCCTCCACGAGTTGTTTATGATCATCTCTGCAACTAGATTCGAATGGGACATCTACTATGTGTCTATCGTGCACTGGTACGTCGTGGATTATATCCTTAACAGTTGTCAATACTCTGGCGTCAAATTCCTTATCAGTATCATCAACGATCCTGGATTCCATCTGGATATTCTCATCAAGTGAAGCCTCATGCAAACCAATCTCCATCAGCACATGCTTCTCTGTGGGCTTCCCTAGATATTCATCAGCTTTATCAGACACCGCCTTAATCATGCCTTCATCTTGTGCACTTGTTTCTATAGCTGAAACCTTCTCCATCTCTTCACTTACAATTATTTTGCTCTTATCCACCTTCTCATGATCTATGTAATCGCCATCAATGGCTTTAACTACTTCCTGCTGACTTTCTATCACCTTCTTTTCCCCTTTTTCACTTACACCTTGCTGCATATCCACAACATAACTGGGGCCTTTTATCTCCAGCACAGCACTTGAGGGTTTCGGTTTCTGAAGGGCCTGAACTGGGCTCCAGCGATATACATCTTGACCAACAAGGGCCTGGTCAATAAACTGTGATTTGTCTCCAGACTTTACAATATAGCTCTCTGGTTCACTTGAAGCATCACTATCCTGAACAACTGAAACTGTGGGCTGCTGTTCAGTATCCTTTTCGCTTCGAAGTGGAGACCTTGAGGACTCAGTAGGAGAACTTTTATTTCCTTCAGCAAAATCTTCAAGATGTCCAGTTTTAGTAGGTGCATGCTGTTCTAATGGCTCTGTTACAGACACGCCTGCCATATCGGCTACAATTTTGCTAGTTTCTTTACCTGGTGAATACAACATTTCTTTTGGAATATTTTCTTCAGGGCCACTAGGCTTCCTTTCCCACCCGTCTGGTCTCGTTTCTGGAATATACTCATATTCCACCTGTTCAGATTGTGGCAATTTATCATCATGTATGACAGCCATATCCACAGTGCTGACAATATCAACATGTTCTGTTTCTAAATATGAGCTGCTCAGACTGTCTTTTGAAAGACCTTCATACGGAACACTACAGCTTGGAGAATAAACATGCTCACCGTCTTTAGCAATACCAGACGACTCGGCTTCCACAAAAAATGCTGGATCCATTTGACGTTCAAGAACACCGCTACCTGCTGTCACAAAGGACTCTGCTGTGGTTCCTTGAGCTTGTTTATCAACTGCACTAGGCCAGAGTTCGTCCTGTATGACAGCCCTACTGTAACCAACACGTGGCTTGCTGATCACTGGTTTGTTTCCCTGACTTATGACTTTAAGTTGTGCTTTAACCGGTTCCCACTCCTGACGATCCTTAAAATCAGCGCTATACGTTTCTTTTAATATGCCTTGTAAGTATGTGGGCTTATCTTCAGGAGGACCCTTGATCCCCACTGACAAAACATTTGGTACTGTGCACTGAATTTGAGGCGGCGTTGCTATCTCTGTGGTTACTGGTATAATCTCTGATTTTTCTGTGCCGCGGGCATCGATAATGTTTTCCGAAACAATCCGTGGGCTTACTTGTTTTACATCTTGAATTCTACAGCTGTCATCTGCACGCAGTTTTTCAATTTTTCCAACACTATCATATTTTTTTGTATCTGAGACCTCAATCATTTCCACCTCTCTCCCCTCCACTACGGATTCCAGCAGCTGGGTTGGAACGGCAGGGCCACTTACTTCCTCCTCAGATAGTTTGGAACTTTCTCCAGGTACCAACGTGACACCAACTTGCCCTGCACCGTAATGTGACGAAGGCACGTCTGCGCCAAACCTTTGCTCTCTTCCCTGCAGCAGCACCTCTGCCTCGGTGTAATCCCCCTCAGTGTATGGCCTGTACCCCTCCAGTGAGCGTTCATCCAGAATGGCGCTGTCGTCCGTTTCCCCCCCACTTTCATACACGTACGGAGAATCGACTCTGGTTCTGAACATGTACTCCCTGCCACGACCCCTGGAACGATCGGCCTGCATAACAGTAGTTGGTGGAAACTTAGGCTGGACGTTCACTGCCTCGGATTGCTTCTCAAAGCGTATCATGCTAACGTTTGGTATAACTGGGGACTGTTCTTGTCCCGTTTGATCGAATCGAGACTGAAAATTCTCCTTCAGCCTGCGTAGAATTTTTGCACTTTCCGTCGACTCATACATATCCTCATCACTTGTAAAGAACTGCTCGTCCACATCCTTTAACTTTATTTCTGATGTTGTACCGCCGTACTGCTGCGCGCTTCCTACGCTCTGACTGTGTCTGGTCCCCGAGTAAGAAACTGATGATGTATGTAGTTTCTGATTTTCTGAATCCTCCGTGAAGGGCATTTCGATAAACAGAGCGGAGCAACACTCAACTTCTCCCACGACGTTTTTAGCCACGCAGCTATAATCCCCAGCATCGCTGCTCGTGACAGAGTAGATAACCAGCTGATATCGACCCCCGCCTTCATGAACATCGTACTTCTCCCCATCTATGCACAAAAACAGCATATCTTTAGCCCATGTCACCGATGGCTCTGGGTCGCCAAATACTAAGCATTCGAACATGGCATCGTCGCCTTCAATGCAAAACATGTCCTCGGTCGCTTTGATGATTTGAGGAGCCTCGTGCATTTCCCCAAACTTGAATTTAAACTTGTGCTTCATTTTTGTCGGCGAGACGCCTTCCGAGTCTGATGACGTAAACTCTGTCGAATGGAAACGCTCCCTGACTTCCTCCTCCTCCTCTTCCTCCTCCTCCTCCTCCTCTTCGTTTTCTTCGGCATCTCTTTCTATGGTGGGAGTAGGTGCGGTCACCATGATCTCCACTGGCAGAGAGAGCCCGCTGGAGTGTGTCTGAGAGCGACTCTCACGGGGCAAATACTGCATTGAGAACGAGCCCATTATATCGGCGATCTCTGGGTCAGACTCTTCGGATAAGCATATCATGGGTGGAATTTGATATTGATGTTCTTTCTTTACCATGGTCACCGTGGGTTTCTGCTTTGTGCCTTCCTGCAAGGCATGGTGCTTCGGAGGAGGCGTTTCTGCAGTAGCTTCTCTCCCTTTCAGATCACCCGAAAGCTTAATCGATACCTTCTTCTCAGAAGTAAGAGGAGGTTTCGTGGTGGCAACGCTAGACTCAGGCAACGTGTCAAATACAGAGCCCCGTGGGAGGGTTCTGGTCTGTATTTCCGAAACCGTCTTAATTATGTCGTCACCGTGACTAGAAGCATCTGCTCTCTGAATATCTTTATTCTCAAGGGCACCCCTAGCAGGCTCTGACCTAATCCCACCTTTGCATTTCTGCTGTTGAGCAATAGATTCTCCAAATGGTTCAAAATGTATTTCTGATGTTAAACTATTCTTTGAAAATGATGGCATTTCAGCAGACGGCAATTGAGACAGGAGTTCTTCTTGCCAGGGCTTTTGTTTTAAAGGTGGCTTGTTGCTGATTTTCGAGGAAGTCTCGAACATTTCCTTGATCTTCATACGCTGTGGTGGTGGTTCCGAGGGCACATGAGCTTGCTTGTGTTCAGCTTGTTTCATGAATTTATCTCGAAGAGTTTTGATTCTTTCAAACGAATGGATAACCATGGGTTCTTTTTCTTCAAGTGGTTTTATTTGCACTTCGTCCGTATGTAACCCAAGGATCTTCTCCATCCTCACTTGAAAAGCCTTTGTTTTCTCTGCAACTGTTACGTGTGTATAGCCCTCAGCACCTGGCACTGCCTGCTTAGGTTTACCACGTATGTAAGTGACCATTTTATACTGAGAAGATGATTGTTCATCATCATCCAGGGTTTCCAGTCGACCGGTCTCTGAAGACGAGGCCTCGGGTAAAGGCAGGCCTTCTCTTTCTGCTCTCCTTTTCTCCAAAACTCTCTTCTTAGCTTCCCGTAGGAGCTGAAGCTTGCGTTCAATTTCTTTGTCAAGAGACGTTTGAGCAACGAGTCTCCTCTCCTTCTTCACTGTTTTGACAGGGGCTGCCTCTGGCAACTTTGATGCAGCAGGGCTGAAGGGCAGAAGAGCCACTCTGGGTGGAATTTTCTTCTTTTGCGGAAGTGCAGATTTCTTGATAACGATCACCTTTCCAGTTATCAGCCGCTCTGAGAACAACGCTCGAGGAAAGATGTCAAAATGTTTATTTTGGTAAGGAGACCCGACATGCCGCAGTTCCAACCTGCCAAGGTCTGCCTGCTTCTGCTCTAATGCCGAATCACCAGGACGGGTCCTACGCCCCCTCCTCAAAAGGGCCAGGTAATTCACATTGTGCTGATCATGCATTGCAATAATCAGAGAAGCGATGGACTCGGCTGACCCTTCCGAATTGATAGCAAACACTTTGTAGCTTCCAGAATCCTGCTGCCGAACAGCTTCGATCTCCAGGGAGGAGACATTATCGTGCATTTGGCTTTTAATTGTAACCTTGTATCGGGCATTTTTCTGAAGGGGCCTGTTATTAAGATACCACGTTATGCTGGGAGTGGGGTTTGCAAGAATTCTGCAGTGGAAAGCAGCAGGCTGACCTTCTTTTACTGAAACGAATTTCAGTGACTGTGTGAATGTAGGTGCTATGTTTTCTGCCCAAGGCCTATTGGAAGATGTAGTGGTGGTGTGAGCAGAAAGGACTTCATGATTCAGGTCTTCATCCATGTATGGTTGCATCCTTGCGATTCCTCCTCTGGCTTTGAAGTCTCTTCTGGGGTTTGAATGTTCGCTTCCATCAATAAAGCCCCATTCTGTAAAAAAAAAAAAAGGAAAAATTACGTCTAAATTCAGAGAAGGAAAATTGCAATGCAAACTTCAAATGAATGAAAATGTTTAAAATTGAATGCGTAATTGTTTTATGTAATGCATGCAAACGTAGCAAGCAAGAAGGATGTTATAAGTGAAATAGAAAAACGTGAATAGTCCAACTCACCATATTTGTTCGAATAAACGTTAGACTTGTGACAATAAGCGTCACAGAATCTGGGTCGTTGGATCTTCAGATAGTGCTGCAATTTCTTCCTCTACGGACTTCTAAAAACAACTTTTCTCTCATAATAATTACTTGCAAATCGTTTGCAAAGTGAAACTCGGTTGCAGGAAAAAATAATAATCTAAGAATACGATTCCGCCATTGTAAAAAAAAATGGTAACCTCGCCTGACTTGCACACAGCATAACGAATGCCCTCTCTGACCCTCATGGTAATGCGGCAAAAAGCTCAGTAAAAAAAAACAACATATCCGTTTTCTATGACAAGTATGCAGAATTAAAAATTTCGGCCACCAGCATTTGTTATTTTACGCAGAAATTGGCTGAAATTCACTGCTGTTCGGTGAACAGACGTTTATTCGAACCAATACAGCTTGGAGATTATGGGATGTTTAAATGACTTTTATGTCATGCAATGAAGCAGAGGCCTGAAGGCTAAAGAAAGAATGCTGTCTGCAAGCCAGGTCAGTTAAGGACTCCAAGTTTTATATTCTACGAATTAATACCCAATATATGTTGTCAACTAGGACACCTTTTGCACAGTTCATATCACCATAAACGATCAACAATACCAATACATCATCACATCATATTCCACCATTTTGTGGACCACTGACAAAGAAAGATACCGTGCATGTGCGTACAAAAAGGAATGTGCAAAGTATGTATCGTAGGTGGCATTGTCAGAAAATATCAGTTGTGGGTATTTATTTGACTCTCAAGTCTCAAGGCCCTCAAGTGAACTGTTAGCGAGCTTGCTGGAACAGCGACCCTGCATGAATATTTTTTGTAGAGAAGCTGGAATCATCAAGTTATAGTCACACAAACACCCACACAAACACCCACACAAACACCCACACGCATGTAAAATATGCACTCGGGTATTAAGCAAGCCACATGTCACCATAAAACAACACATTTTCATTTTTAAAAAGATAAAACAACGAATTACATTACTTGAAGGGTGAATATGCCAACAGCATTAGCAATTGTTCAACGTAGTGTTTGGTCAACTTGATTAAGCGTGTCATTTTAACATTACTTGTATATATAGTAAGACATATTCCCTGAATAATTGTAAGAAAGAAACCATGCCTACCTTTGACCTCTGGCTGAAGAGCTGCAAAATAAAAATAATAAAGAAAACACCGGTTAATGGCAAATCAACAGAAAATATCAGAAACGTTTTGCAATGATTCTCAACTTATATTCCACCATTTAACCACATGCCTACACTGGCTCCTGATCTTAAGGAAGGTAAAGATTAACTAAACACAATATTAAAGTCAGCTGTGCAAAACACAAGTATAGCATTAGACACCATTAGGTTGAGAATAACTTAAATAGTGTACACTGTGGAGGAAAACATTTACACAAGACCTTTTTTTGTTGTTAAAAAAAACTTTGTTTACACAATGACATTCTCACCAATACTGACTTTGTAAATCAACACACATGGGTAATGTATGAAGAAGAGCAGTTTTAACGTGAACATTACAGACTGTGCCATGTCCAACACATAGCCATGTGAATGTTCTTTCATTGTTCTTTTCACGTATGAAGGATTGGACTCATACATGCTTGCTTATTGAAATCAGTCATTGTAAAAAAAAATGTTAAATAAACCCGGGAGCAGAAAACAAACAAGTTTTTTTTTATTGGAAGGACATTTCACAGTCTATAAAAAGTATATATATATCAGCTCGGGAAGATACTTCTTGAGGAAGTCAGCCTGTGTCATTGAGGGAAAACGGTAGGTAAATGACTTGAGGTTTATGGGAGGTTATTGGAAAGACTCACAACAAGGAGGTGATGAAGTGTCTCATTGTGTTTTTTATGAGTGGTAAAGGTTTGTTGATCAACAGCTGAACACGAAGTGAAAAGAGAAAAAAAGCCAACCATTGAAAAACAGGTCAAGGAGTGGAGTGGTTATAGCGATGATGTTAAAGAGGTACCGGAAAAGAGATGGCAACACTGTTTTATGCTTCAGGATTAATACATGGAATTGGTGGAAGAAGAAGAAAAAAAATTATAGTTAAGCAGGTTCAGCCAACTCCATGCAGACAGTTTCCAACCTGACACTTTGAGTCGGGTGTTGCAGACTGCCTCTCCTTCACTGTTGAAGGCTCTGCAAGAATATGCGCCACTGTCTTCGTGCATAACTGTCATTAACTGCAAGCAGCAAATCCATCCGTTGTAAAACATGGACACGGCCGGAGAGTCCTCGATTTTGATCTCATCGTGCAGCCAAATGACTTCAGGGATGGGGTTCCCCTTGACGCGGCACACCAGAATGACACTGTCGCCTTCTTCCACGTGGGCCTCGGAGGGAAGCTCCTCTGTGAACTCGGGCGGGTACGGCGGGGTCATGACCAGGTCTTCGTAAGCGACGACGTCCGAGTATTCAGGCGCGGCAGTGCTCTGCCTCGGATGCACCGTTTCAGGCGTTTCCTGAGAATAATTTGGCTTTCCCCTCAAACCGGCTGGGTCGGCTGAACAAAAAAAAAAATGTAAGGGGACGATAAATACAATTGAGCGCTAGTTCAATCAGACAATTCGGGTTGGGTTTTTTTTTTACTTTTACAAAGATAACAAGATTTAGGTTACGGTATGTAAATTCATTGTTGAGAAGTGAAGCGGTGATGCGGTGGTTTGCGCACACTGCGCTACACCACGCTGAGAACCCAACGACCCGAGTTTGATTCTCGGGCCATGGCTGATATTAGTGGAGAGAAAATTGCGATGTATGATCCTGTGCTTGGGGCCTCCTCTTCACCAACCTGTGCTGACCAGCATGGTGAAGTATGGTCAAACGACACCAATGGCCAACATGGTGTGGGGGACACTTTCTTCCAGCACTGGATTGACAAATTGTATTATTTATATGATATTACACGACATTTTATTATAATGTTAAATTTGTTAATTTATGCTTATTTGAAATAGCTATGATCATCCATAGAATACATATTGCTGAAATAATGTTTGGTTCTCAGAGATTATCCCACGTTTTGGGGGAGTATCGTTCTAGTAAATGTTTCAGATGGAATGATCGAGTGATACCACAGAATGTATTATTTGATGTGCTCAATCATTGTAAACGATATAGCGTTATTTGATTTGTAATATATTGATGTGAATCATTATTGGGAGATGACTATCTAATGGGAAAATCACCTTCTACTGTCAAAACAGCTTCAGTCTTCTCCTCTCCGGCTTCGTCCGTCGCAATGCAGGTGTACAACCCATCATCCTCGGGGTCCACATCCAAGATGGTCATGAGAAAAACGCTGCCATTCTGAGCAAATTTAATCTTCTGGCTTTCTTCTATGGGGCTTCCTTGGTGACACCAAGTGACCATGGGAAACGGAGGCCCTCGAACTGAGCAAATAAACTGTGCTGGCTGACCCATCGTGACCTTCTGATCCGTCAGTCCAAGAGTGAATTTTGGCTTTTTAAGCTTGGCCGCCCGGGAAACAACGGATACCACGGACTCACAGAATGCCTCGCCAGCGGGGTTTATGGCCTTGCACGTGTATTTGCCAGAATCTTCCTTGCGTATGTCTTCTATGATTACGTGGGTTTCGGAGAATATGCCAGACTCGGTTGTTGTGGAAATCCTGAGACCTCTTCTTTCCGTAACTTCGTTGTCATCTTTGAACCACGTAATCTGTGGCTCAGGAATGGCTAAAATCTGAAACTTTAGCCGAACCAGAGTTCCTTCTTCTATGGTGGCATCTCCAGGTTCATAAACAAACTTAGGGGCTTGCATCATCTTGTTTTCTGTCTCGATTGTTTTACTTAAAATGTGTTTTTCCCTTTCTTGTGTAACCTTCTCTGTTACAACTTCACTTGTCTTTACTGTTTGAACTGTGGCAGGGGTACTTGGAGTCGATGTTGCCAATATTTCTTCCTTATCTGAAGAGGTCTGGCTCTTAACTAGAATTTGCTGATTGATATCTAAGTAATAGGAAGAAGAGAAAAAAGCATTGCCGTCTTATTGCGCTGCCTGGGAGCAATAACCAGGTTTAGCAATATAGTTGCAAAAATAAAACATTCTCATTTTAGTTTCTTAAAGCAAAGCTTTTTGGCATGATAAGTTAAAGGCAACATTGTGAAGACACCTCTTGTATTTCAGCAAATGCATTTTTGTTATTGCCATGGCATAATTGTGCAGCTTATGCTGTATTTTAGAAGATGAGTTCTTAGTTGATTAAATATACAGAGGAGCAGCCGCATTATAAAATGATGGCAGTGGAAAATGGCCCGCATGGACTTACCTGGTTAATACGGTTAAAACGGTGGCGTCAGAGCGATGATTCAAGCTGGTGTGACGGAGGCGTGGCTTCAGGGAATTTGTGATGAATGTCGTTATATTTGTGAAAAAATATTTTGGTGAGTGATGAATTGTACTAGATTTTCAGTTAATAGGGAGAACGCAAGTTGATTGTGACGAGGGTTTAATTTTAATGTGTTAGGTGCAGTTATAACAATATTGGTATGGGACATGGCTTTGAAATGGAATCGTTTGTTTCCTTAAAGGTCTTGAAAAAGTGGGAAATAATCACAACTTCCCCAGCTGATACATAATACACAGTACAATATAGTGACTTAAACAACATGCTGTTTGGTACGTACTATTTTTTTTGTTTGTTTCAAAATACAAAACAAAAACGACAAAATTACGATCAGCTCCGAGCATGGCGTGATGAAATTAGTAATATTACCCAGGCTTTCAAAGCTGGTACAACATAATGAAACGGTTAGCCTTATTAATGTGTGCAAAGCATTAACACACACTGTTGCATTGAGTGAATACCAATTAAACCTTCAACTGTGTAAATACAACAAAAACGAAACTTTTCCAAAAAGATTCGCACTTTCAAAAAACACGTGGGATGAAAATTAAAGGGCGAAAATATGAGAACGCAAATTAGGTCGTGGGTAAGATACCTTCGAGGTTGAGAGTAGCGCTGCACATGGCTTCCCCCATGGAGTTCTTGGCTACGCACTTGTACTGGCCCTCGTCCTCCGGGAAGACCTCCATGATCTCCAGCTGATAGGTGTCCTCAAAGTTTGTCATTTTGAAGAACTTGGACGGCTTGATCTCTTTTTCATTGCAGTACCAGGTCACTTCAAGATCTGTAGTCAACAAAAACTGCAACTATAATTTGTGTCGCGCGTTTCTCACGGTCGGTTCAAATCGGCTGCGCCGAAGATGAATGTAAAATTTCAGGTCATTCAGGCTATTCTAATGTATTCTTCGTGTGCTGCAAATTATCAACGCTAAATTATTTATAACAATGCCATACAGTAAAAGCGTCCATAATACAGGTTTTTTTTCGGTTAGATCGCATAAAATATATAAATCTGTCGTTAAACCCGCCACCACCCAACACACTATTGTGTTGGAGTGCTGTACTAGTAACGAATTGGCATGTTCTGTTTAAGTGACAAACCTCACTAATTGGCTGTGTCGATGTGGTGGAGGGTTTAACGACATGTTTATATATTTACGCGATCTAACCCAAAAAACCTCTATTATAGATGATATTGGTCGCGAAAGCATACATGTTAAACAGTAAAAGCGGCCTACTCGAACTGCTGAGACCACGAGTTAGAATCGAGGCAATCGCCCATGATTAAAACCGGTCCCCAAGTGTGGATAAGAGGTCACTTGATGGGATCTTAGAAGTAGTTCTGTGTTATCCCCTTCCGTGGGTCGTTCCCCAAATTGGGGGTTCTGAACCACTCTGTGAGAGCTTCAAATGATCGTTACTTCAAACCACGCCACGATGCCAACAGCATGAAACTTCACGATATTCGAGTTGTAAATGTTGTGGGTTCATTCTCCAACTGAACTAATAACGAATTGGCACGTTTTGTTTTACATGACAAACCTTACTCTAATTGGCTGTGTCGGGTGGTGGAGGGTTTAACGACACGTTTATATATTTTCGTGATCTCACCCCAAAAAAAAAAAAAAACTCTATTATCGAACATGAATAAAATTGTAGAAAAAAAAGTA